AAAAAAAGAAATAAATGGGTGGGGGGGGGGGGGGGGGGGGGAGTTATTTGCACAAAAATAGTTTAACCAGGGATTATTACCCTTTCCACCTTGTGACGAGGAATCTCATGTCGAAGTTTCTGGTCAACGTTGATATTGTTCTGTAAACAAGCAAATATGTTAGTAAAGTCTTAACCAACCAAAGATGGGAGATGAGTAATCTTTGGGGGCAAAATAAGAATCTTTGCTGATAAGGTAAAATCTAAATGACGCATAGCCACAATAAATGCTATGAGGTGTAAATCAAGGTGCCTTGCAATCAAAAGGTACAAGAAAACACTACATGACTTCAAACAATAATGCTCATGTCCCTGGATGCAGGTATTTTGTTATCTCAAATCTTACTGAGGTAGCATATTGTGCACCTCATTAACTACAGACATATTATACTTATTCGTAAGTGAATGGTCAATCATCAACTAGAATGTCTTATTGTCCAAATTCTGACTCCATCATACATCAGGACTTACCTTATATTCATTATGACAATGCCTGCAGTCAAACATCTCATTGCAGCATGGGGCTATAATGCGACATCTACGGCGATAGTGGGGACATCTGGAAAAGAACACACATCTGAGAATAATTGATAATCATAACATCCACTATGTATGAGGTTTAGACAAACATATATTGAGCACACACCTTCAATTTTATAACAGAGTTGGTGAGCACAGATCAACCAAGAATGATTGTACAAAATAGACATAAGTTAAATTGGTGAAGAAAGATCAACCAAGAATGATTGGACAAAATAGACTTAAGTTTACCGTCATGAATGAGACAGAGAACATACCCATATTCCAAGTATCCTCTGTCGAGGGCTTCAGTACAAGTGGATTTTTCTTCATGTGTAATATCCTCAGGCAAGTAGTCCCCACAGAAACTCTGAACCAGATCAGCATCATTCTCAGATGTTGTAACATTTTGTAAGTTTAAGGCCTCATAATGTGTCGTCCCTGAATGTTCAATCACTATGTCTCCCATTTAGCCTTATGGATCAATTTAACAACTAGAAGCCCTGCATTCAGGAAACAGTCAAGGGAAAAAATCCTAAACCTACAAAGGAATGACTACTTGGCCCTCCAAATGGGCAAAACACCTCAGACAATGTTGTGTTGTCGCACATGAACACCAATTGAAACCAGCAACAACAAATTCCAACAAAGCTTGACAGCTCCAATCAGCAAACTCCACCATGAGAATTCATCAAAACAAGTTGATCTACAAGAATCCACAAGTAGGTTCAAAAGGAACCCAAACTAGAACTATCGTGAAGCATTGAGGAGCTCCAAAGCGTCCAGCAGTAGATAATAATGATTGCACGATGATTTCATTCTTGGAGAACTCCATTTAAAGAGATACTGATGAAGGGAAGTCCAACCTAAGGTAAAAGCAATGGACAACAATCAAACCCGTCCTGACAGAAAAATACTGGGAAAAGTGCGAGACTGCAGAGATGATTTATTTGTTGTCCATCACAGACAACCCTACCTCTGTCTGAGATTCTGCACCATGTCACTTCAACAAGGGAATCTTACCCTGAAGAAGAATTTTATAAATTCCTACAATCTGTTAGTTGGATTATTTCATTGTCAGAAAGGAAAATCTTATCTGTTGGGTTACAACATCCAACTGATCCATACTCTCCAGTCTCCGGTGGTCATCTTTCTTTTTTCCTTTCTTTTTTGTTCACCTTTTCATCCTGAGGCTTATCTTTGTTAACGAAAGACTTCATCATCGCACATGCCTAGCATTTTACTAAAATTCACAAAAACTGAAGTTGCAAACAAAAAGCATCATGTGCCACGATATCTCATTTTTCTACAGTCCAGTGTCTACCTCTCATGCGAAAGTAGGTAAAATTTACAATCTTTCATTACCATCAGTCAAGAACAGCTACAACCACATATACCAGATGATCTCCTTCAGGAGCCCAAAATTAGATTGGTTGGAAGATAAAACATACCAGAAAACTTGGAAAGCAATCAAAACTCCAAATCCTAAGTCAGCCAACTAAAGGAAAAGTGAGAACTGCAAATACCAATAGCCTCAATGGATACCAGCATCAGAAGTTGAATGCAAAATAGAAAAAGGAAACAGAGTGATGAACAAACTGAACAGAAGATTGACATAGATGTCCAACGAGAAGGGCGCTATCACGACTGCTACTTCCATTTGATTGGAACACCAGCTTTGCAACTTCAGATTGACCAAATACATGCTTATAATTGCTTGTGTTTATAGTCTCCATCTTCATAAGCGAAAAGGGATAGGGCAGGAAAAAAGAAAAGTATTTGTTTATTCAAGATCTTTATTATTAGTTTTTTCTTTAAATTCGTCATCAACTTCTCACTGGAATTTTATTTGATAGCTGCAATTTACATACTGTCACAAAACATCGATATAGCTAAACCACCCACACACAAGTTCAAGGTACCCCATATCTTAAACCTGCGGGAGCTTATATATTTTTAACTATAATTTTTCAAGGCTAAGAGTAAAACTAGATAATTACATCAACTATCCTAAGCCCAAAGAATGCCAAATTAGTTGTCAATCGTTCCTAGAATATATTTTGCTGCCACTCACTCAATCAAAAGTGAAGGTCTCATGCAATCAATCAACCAACGTAAATGCCCCGAAACTGAGGATTATTTACACTCTATGAATCAAAAATTGCGGATAGGGTTAATAAAACCACAAAGCTCGAAAGCTCAGTGATATGAAGCAGCAATTCCACCAAGATGCATACGCTACATAACCATCTAATTCAACATAGATATTAGCAAGGCAAACCATTCGTAACACAACAGCACGCAAACCAATCATTCATGATCTCATGGCACAGAAACATAATCTCAACAGAGTCTCTTTCTCTTTCTTTTTTCCATAGCACAACAATCACAATTCTTATAGATTCCACAAAAAATGGAACCTAGACGAGAGCACAATCAATACAACACAAAGTCTACAAGCTCCACCAAAAGTATCTCTCCTCATACAAACAAAGGCAAATCCATTTTAATTGATCTAAGCAAACAAAACCTATAATTTCACCAACACAAACATTTCATAGACTTCGCAAAAGAGGATGAAATGCAACAAACAATAAATAAGGCAGTACGCGAAAAAGAAGAATAAGACGAAACACAGAGATCAGTAGATAGGCGCCATTATAGGTCTAATAATACTAGCAGGAAACTATATAATAGCGCAAAATTCATGTAATCTACATACCTATATAAGTAAATTCACTAGAAATGAGAAGAGCGAAAAACGGAATTAAGGAGCAAAATCAAAAGTGAATATAAAAGGAAGCTAACGCAGAACACTTTGAATAACGAACTTTCAACTCCGATCGTCGGTCACAACTTGCTCCGATCAGATTCTCCGACCTGCAAATGCTGAATAATGTATACAGATAAATGCACGCACAGAGAAAATGAAGGATTTTTTTGTGAGTAGGGTTCGAAGGTGAGTGCTTTTATAGGTGGGCGGGGAGGTTATCCAGAGAGTTCGAAAAAATTGAAAGGTGTGGGCAGATGACGTGGTGAATGAAATTTGTGAAAGCTGGGCATTCTTGTATCTTTTTCAAATGCTATTACTATTTCACCCCTATAAACTTATCAAAATATCTTTCCACTCTACACGTTTTGTTTTTTTTCTTCAAAATTTGAATCGAAAATTATTGCTTGGATAATTTGTCAAGAATTGAGGTGTTCAATTGAATTAAGATTTATTGAACTGTCTAAATGATATATTTTGAGAAGTTTTAGGGGATGATGTGTGTTCAAACTTATATTTTTTAGAGGATGTTGAGATGAATGCGTGGGTACACTAGGAGAGGTAGAATCAGGAACAAAGATATATGAGATAAGGTGGCCGTGGGAGTTAATGCGTGGATATATTAGTTTATTTGTTTCGTTTATTGTATTATTTGAGATTGTTGTGGTCTCTTTCCTTCATTATTTTTTGTATGATTACTTTAGTCAATGACCTATTAAAAACAATATTTATATTTTTACAAAATAAGAATGAGACTATATTACTTTTTTAAAAATTCTATTTATAATTACACTGATTATATTATTATTGTTGTGGTTAAGTAAAACTTAACATGGTGTATATATATATGGACATGGTTGGACCCACCCATACTGAAGAGGTGACAAGCGACACTCATTCGTTGAAAAATTACAGACGTCAAATTTTGATTCAGTAAATATATATTTAAGTATTGACACTAGTTAAAAGACTTAGTCTAGTGATTAAGGTATTGTGAAAAGTTCTTGAGGTTGTGTGTTCTACTCCTAATAGCCTCATAATTATCGACACCCCTTACTAACGATCCTAGATCCGCTGCTATTAACATGGATTAATGATTATGGAACAACTGGATACCTATGGGGAAAAAAGAAAGACTAGTTAATTTAGGCACGAGAAGACATACACGCAACCTGTTGAAAGTTGAAATTGTCCATGTTGACAGGTTTATAAATTGGATAAATTCAACTCGTAATTGGCCCTTGAATTTTTTATTTTTTATTTTTTAAACAGAAGTGTGAAAATATCTTGAATGGTGTGCAAGGCCGGTGCTAAAAATACACACTCGCATTATCCATTCGCCTATCCAAAAGTGTTCACAACATCAAAAATCCGTGAAATTGTATGAGTGAGATCTGAAGAGAATAAAATATACATAGATTTTTACTCTTATCTCATGGAAGCAGAGATGTCAATTCAAAAGTGTTCGCTTCGAGCAAATTGTGTTTTATGTATATTTATTTTATCAGTTTTAATTTGTATATATGACGATAATTGATTATAAATTATTTTTTTTTTCTAAGGATAATTGGTAATGCGTCAAATTGTTTCACGTAAAGGAAAGGGTGAGGTAACTTGTAGCATGACACCTATGTTGTTTATATGCGAAAGTAAAAAATATGGTTGGTCACCTCTTTTGTACTAGTCAATAATAATAGTAGTACAATAATTTAATTTATTTTTTAGATCGAATTATTGTTTCATGTTTTTTCTATATGAGCTTTAATTTCTTCCAATCCAAAAAGTATACGTATATCTTTTAATAGGGTCGAGATCCTCATAAAATACGTGTTAGAGAAATTATGTAAAATCTGCAAAACATATTATAATACTCTCTATGTCCTAATGCATGTGTCTTATTTTTATTTTTTTTACTTCTTTAAAAAAGAACGCATCTGGCTAAAATAAAATCTTCAATTCCAAAATTCTAACAAGTTTAATTAAAATTTAGAATGGTTCATTTTGCTTTTATTTTAAATATAAATATAAAAGTGGTACTTTTAGTATTTTAAGTTTTACAAAAAATTATTGTAAACAAATGAATAATTTTTATTTTAAAAATAAAAATAAAATCACCACATGGCTATCAGAAAATTCAATGACTACCAATCATGAAAAATTATGAATCCGTACGCAATAAAAAAAATGGAAACAATTGATATCAAAGTTCAAAAAAATTTAAAATCTAAAATATAATTATTATCTTCTAACTTTTAAATATTTTTTTCTACTTTAATATTATTTTAAAATATATTGAGTTGATGTTATAAAAATAAAAAAAGAAATAACAATAAATATAATTGTGATGTTGGCTTGGGCCCTAGTTTGGCACGGTTCAAATGCCACTAGTTATTATATCTTCTATCCTAATTTATGCGATATCGAATTTTTTTAATTAATTTTTCATTTTATATTTGATATATGTGTTAGAGCCTCAATAAAATCGCGATCACACACTGCATGAGTCTTTCTAGAAAAACATTCCTAATCGAATTTTCTCCATATATATCGTAACTCAAAATTATAACTTAAAGCAAAAAATTGTTCTGACATCGACCATCGTACCACGACTCACGTTAGCAACACCAATTCGATACTTCTTAGGATGAGGATGAGCTCTTTCTATGTGTCATTCATTATTTAGGGAGTAAATATTAGATGACACGTGTCAATATTAGGAAACATGTCTCCATCAATCTCACATCAAATTCAACACGATGTCTAGGATTACCATTCATTTATTTTATTTTGTTTTTGAAACAATATCATTTTTTTCCCCTTTAAATAATAAAGAGGATATAATCTTTGACGTTAGTTTAATTTAGGCTTATCTTTTTGAGAATGAAATGATTGAGTTTGATCTCCATTATTGGACTCCAAATATTTTAATTAATTTAAGATCCCTCAAAAGTAGGATGTCATCATCAAAACAATAATCTTGTTTCCCTTTTGAGTTTTGCAAATGGATAATTTAATCTCATTACTTGTAACTTGGTAAATTTACCGTCCAAGTTTCATAATTTATTTGGATTTGTTATAGAATTTAAAGAAATATAAGACAAAAGATGTAGATAAAGTATATAGAGTATAAGAATAAGCTTTTCCCCCATTTCTTTCAAATGTATTCAAGTGTTTTTCAAATCTTCAAATATGTATAATATTGATCCTCACGAATATTTATTAAAAATTATAGGGCTACATAAAGAAACATCAAAAGGTATTATAAATATGACATTAATTTTTGAAAATGTGTAAATGATTATTGAAGGATCCGGCTCCTTTTCATTTCTCTTTTCTCCATTTTCTCAAGTTCTAGCTTGGATTGGAGACACATGTCATAGTTTAGAATTAATGGTTGAGATCTAATTAATTAAAACAAAGTCCTAATCATAGTTATTTACTTCCATATATTTGCTTCTTAAATATTTTTACAATCCAAAAATTCTAGATTTACGTTATATTTTTTCTAAATATATTTAAAAGAACTTCTTTTTTTAATTACTTAAGTAATTTTTTTCTGTTTTTTTTTACTTTTTTCCCTAACGTTTACCATTTCTCAAATAATATTTGCCAAATAAAAAAATAGAAATTGTGACCTGAACTTTTTTTAAATTTTAGGAGTAAAATAAATTTTGTCACACAACTTTAAATTCTTTCTTGCTCCCTAAATGAAGTCCATATTGCTCTATAGACACTATAACTCTTAATACTCTATTAGAATAATAAAAACATTTAACTGTATTATAATTTTTTTCAAAAAAGTAAAAATATTTGGTAAAATTTTTTAATATGTATGCAGGGTAGTAAAGAAAAGTTTTTAATCTATTTAGGGAAAATATAATATATTGCAAATATATGTAAGTAAATAACTATGGTTAGGACTTTGTTTTAATTAATTAGATCTCAACCATTAATTCTAAACTATGACATGTGTCTCCAATCCAAGCTAGAACTTGGAGAAAATGGAGAGGAGCCGGATGTGTGATGAGAAGGTGGTGTAGGGGTGAGTATTACTACATAGTATAATATAATTAAGAGTACAGTGAAGATTACACTTGGTGCACATTCAGAATAATATATTTTATAACTCCCTCTTTGATGTCCATAGATCATGTGACTCGTTAAAATTCACTAGAAAATTTTTAGTAAAAACAAAAAAAAAGAGTATACATATCGTGAAATATTCATGGTTTATTGCCTCGTTAAAAATCTAGGTAGAAAAATTCAGTGAAAGAAAACATTTGCTAAAGAAAAAGAGTACCATGTATATTTTACCCCTAATGAAAACATCACTTTATATTTTAAAAACGACAAATTTAAAACTATAAATGACAAGTTTCATTTTAGTATAACTTCTCAAATATTAAAATCGACAATACCTTAGTAAAATATTTCATAAATTATCATGCAAGTAACCTTGCCTTCAACATTATTGATTCGTTTCGAATAAAAAACACATATTTTTTTTTATATTGAGTTACTTGCTTTAGAAGTTGTTAATATCTTGACTGGACTTGAGCAAAATATTAATAACCAATTGCTTTGTAGAACAATTTTCTTGCAATCAAACGTCTTATATATCAAATAATTTTTCTATATTTACATAACCAATAATTTCTTGACAATATTGTTACAAATAATAAATTTAAAACATATATGATTTTATTCAAATAACTTAACGTAAATTAATTTCTGAACAAATACTGAGTTGGACGAGCTCTACATGACGCAATTTCACGTGAGCAGGACAAGTGATGCTGCTGGGTTGTTGTACGGATGTACTGGTTTGTCGAAGAATATTGAGCAAGACAACGAAGCCTTTTAGTTCATATAAAGATATTCTTATTTATAATATTAAGAAACTCTTAAAATTAATAAGATGTTAGTATTTCTTCAATACATTACATTAGATATTATTGTGAAAATTTTATTTATTAATATAAAGATTTAAATAATTTAGTTTAAAATAATAAAAAAAAGTCTATTAAAAATTAGGTAATATTTTTTCTTAATCTTAAATATTATTTTAGAGAAAATAAAATCACAAAAGTTATCCTCAAAATTTGAGGCCTAACATTTATTAGCCTTATCCATGCGTCACCCCGAATCTAGTGTCGTAGAAGGCATCACATACCCATATCACGAGTCCTTGAGAGTCTCTAAGCAACATAAAAAAGATAATTTTCTTATTACTTCATATCTTTAAAAAAAATCAAACAAATTTATAGTAATCAAGATAGTTGAAAAGTATTAAATTTAATAGTATTTGTGCATGCACTTCATTCAATCTTGCTAGCTACCTTTGATAAATCACCTTATCACGTGACTTCGTAAGAATATGTTCCCTATTCGGATTGAATGGAATATTTTATCTTCTTGAATAAATCAATTTAATGACCTAGGTAAAGTTTGGATAATATTTGGAAGGGAAAAAAAGAGTTCGGATAATATACGTATTTTACTTTATTATGGTTGTCCTAGTCTTCTAGATCCAACTATTTATTTATTTTTAGATAAAAATACTTTTTCAATATACTTTTACTTGTTTATTATATTAAAGAATAATTTTTATTTGTCCATTTTACCATATCAAGAAAAAACAAATTTGATTTTTCTTGTTTTACTCTTAACATTAACTATTGATTCTGAATTATTTCATATCCAATTAAACTATACATCAATTAATATGAATATTATGAATAAGTAAAAATGGATAGAGAAAGTATGATCTTGGATTCATCCTCACGTTGATACTAGTCTTGAAAACATTTGAATTAGAAAAAAAAACTCTTAAAAATTAGATTGAGGATTGAATAAAAATTCATTTCATTGACAGAAGTGATAGCTGTCTTTAAAGTGACAGAATCACCGACAAGAATTATAGTAGAGCGGTAAGTACTTATTCATCTTTAATTAAAAATTTCTAGTTCAAGTCCCACTAAATACAGAGTTATCTTTGTTAAAGAAGATTTTACCGAACAGTCAGGCTAATATACTAATATCGAACAAAAAAATGAATAGAATCATAATAGATATAAATAAGTGGGTACTACAATATTAAGTTGTTTGTGCTTATCAATTATCTTATTTGTTTCTTTGCATCACACATTTTCAACAACTGGTAACTAATTAACTTAAGACTATGGTTTAACTGAAAAATGACACCCCACTTGTACCTAGAACTAAATTAGGATTTATAAACCATCCTAATGTAGCATTTCACCAAGGACAGAAAAAATTAGTAAATCTTGATTATCCTTGGGTAACAAAGCTGATAAATAAAACATGAATAAGAGCAAGAGTAAATAATTCCCAACCTCTAATACAAGGAAATATTCTTCTGCCTTGGATAGACAATTCAATATTAAGGCAGTTATTTTTCATGAAAATATATTTTCATAGAAAGTCTTTTACTAGAAAAGGATTACATAATTAAAACAAAAATAAATAATCATCCCACAAGAACTTCATTCACAGATTTCCCACACAAACCTCTCGTCGATCAACCATGTTGAAAGGTTATCAAGGAGCCTGGTACCGGCCTCAAAAAGAGTATGACTTGACCGCGATAGTAGCGTACATAGAATTTTATGCAAAGAGTGTCCGCTGGGTGATGCATGGGGTTTCTAAAACACAAGTCAAAAAACTTCTGGACGACTCATATGTATTGATCAACTAGAGTACAAGGCAGGGTGGAAAACACAGAAGCTTAAAACCAGTTAAATTTATCACCCACCACGCCTAGTACTGTTGAATGAAACATTATTTTCATTGCACCTACATGTAGGCCTCCAAATATGTAAAACACAGATATATCATTACGAATTGAAAAGACAAAACAATCATCTAGAATGTACTTCCCAGAAAAAAAACTCATACTAACTATCAGAGTCACAGATTTTCTCCTCCTTAGGTGGTGCAAACTGCCGGCTAAGCCGAGATCTTGTCCAGGGATCCATGGCTGGTCTCTGTGGAGGTTGAGGATTTGGTGGTTTGGATTGTCTAAGTTCATTTTCTCTATCAATAAACCTGTCAAAACAACACAAAACTGGTCAGACATCGACCTATTATAGCCATCCCTTCACTGTCTTTTGAACCAGCATACTATTTTTTGTGTTAATAAGTACCGAAATCATCTGGAAGCCATTTCTAAGTATCTTCCAGCAAAGATTATGCATCCGTTTAAGTGAAAATCTTACTCTATATAGGCCATTGGTGCAGCATCACCTACTCGAATGCGAGTTCGGAGCATTCTCGTGTATCCACCAGCTCTATCTCTGTAACATATGAATTTTAAGATATTGAAAACCATAATCCTATATTTCAAAAAATAGAGTAGAAAGTTGATGGTCTGGGGTTTACTTGTATCTGTAGGCCAATTCAGTGAAGAGCTTATGAATGACATCATCCCCACGCACAAAGGCAGCTGCCTGTCTTGCAGCACATAGAGTTCCCTGCAATAGTTCAAAAGGTGCCAAAATATAAACAAGTCAAAAAACATTGCTCCTAAATGAGGACAATTACTCAGAGAACAAATGAGAGAAAACAGAGCAAATAACTGTCGGTATTTATCAGAAAAGTTATTATTTATTACTCCTATTATTATTATTAAGTATGTACGTATTTATAATAACTATGTTTTGATAACCGAAAAATCCCCGAAGCCACACAATTCAACACTAAGTGGATAATGAACCTGCTAGCCTTCTCCATTTAAATACCAAGCATTTATTTGCGGAAATATTTGAACTAGTGACGTGCACTTCAGATTCCATCTCAATCTCATTTTTTTGTTTTTTTCAGATGAGAAATGCACAAGGTATTCTGTTTTTGGTTGTCATTGAAGCGAGATTTTGAAACAAGAAACATGAGAAAAAGTTAGATAGCCTCAAGAGTATTTTCTAACTCGGGTCACAAAAGAAACCAACAACGCCAAGGTCAATCAGCTTAAGCTCCAACCAACACTACTACAATTCTACAACCAAGAAAGTGATTTAACAGTCCTTTCAGTTATATAGTATTCCACGTTAAGACAGTCCTTGTTAATGTTAAAGTAAAAGTAATTAATCCAAGTTGAGACAACCCTAAGAGGCTACAATGTTTCACCCAGTTCTTTAAATTCCAGCCTTTGTGATTTTACTCCATCGAACCAAAACCAAATAAAGAATCTTACTACCCATTACATGTTACTCAAGGTGAAAACCACTATGCTTTTGTGTACACAAATTGTTCTCATTAGTAACAGCATCTCCTTTGGTTGACTACTTTTTAAGATTGGCATTTTGGACAAGAATTCCCTGGTACTGTCCTATTCTCCCTTATCTTCCTCATATTTTGGGATAACTTCCGTATCTTCCTCATTAATTCTACTGTACTCCCATTTTCTATACATGGACAAAAATTTACTTATCTTCTTAACCAGTTTATATAAGGTGTAGATTATCAGTGAGCACATGAAGTTTTTATCCGAGGAAGTGGTGTTCATTGCCATGAAAAAGTCGGTGGCAATGAACACCACTTCCTCTCATATAAGCTTCGTGTGCTCACTGGTAATCTGCATCTTATATAAACTGGTTAAGACAACTTCATAAAACCATTGAGCAAACCCCAAAACTTAAGTTTCCATTTGTCCTGATTCAAACTGAATCCTCTGGAAAAATACTGAAAATTTGGGACCAAAACAGAACTTTCTTCAAAGGAAATCAACCTTACAGCAGAACTCTCCATCTCTTCCCTACATGACTCGAAACACTGCCACCATCTTTCACTAAGAATGTCAATATATCAGTAGGAATAGGTCCACATTCAAAAAGCCTCTGCACATATATCCCAATCTGTTAGCAAAGTCCCATGCACAAAAGATCAAGGGGGGCCCACATTAGATTAATTTATGATCCCCTGTTGTCTTCAATCCCGTGCACCCTGTGTTGAAGGACCATCAACCAAGCAGCAAAAAAGACACACTCCCACTTCCTTCCTACAAAGCTTGCTCAGCTTCTACCTTGAGGGAAACCTGAGAATTAGCAAGGCATCCCCTATTGAAATGCATAAAATCCCACCACGTTATTGCACTCACTTGGGTTACAAGCACTAGTTACTAAACTCAGCACAGCGAGGCATCACCTAACTTGGACACCTTCAGTCGGGTCGCTCTCTTCAAGACCTCACCACCAATCTGAGATCAAATCTATTGACCCTGCCCATTAATGAAATTAGCGGACCAAGCAATACTCCAAATATGCCAGTTTTCTTTCTACATCATCTCTTGACACTATAATCAAGCTTGCTACTCCCACCACAAATCATGGCACCCACCAGTGAGGGACAGAGATGGCTACCTTGCTACCTCATCATCAATGGAAATAAATACAATCAATTTACCTTTCATTTTTCCATAAGTATGCTTAAATTACTCAGTAAATCAGTTCTACTCTAGATCCCTCAGACTAAGCGGTTTCTAACAGAGAAAAACTGTTAACAGCTTCTGCACAGAAGATACTGCAGACTCAAAATCATAGAGAGAAAGCAAATGTTCTCTCTAAAACTAGCTGTGAAGCTCGACTATTAATTTCATAGAACAAATGACATCGTTAAGACACTTCTAGTGGAAGGTTGTGATGAAATTTTAGATAAAGAATCTATCAAATAAAAAATCTATGTACATAAACATTACTGATTAATTGACATTTTCTTGCAGTATATTCCTATTTCACTTTTCAACGAAGTCATGATATGCATTTCAAGGATGAACGAAACCAAAACAACATACTAACATTCTTGAGACTTAAACGACATATTAGCATTCTTTACACACCAAAAAACTTCAGAAATCAATTATAAGAAAAAATACTTAGAAATGTCAATCTTCCATCCATATTTGTACCTCCTTTCCAAACTGAACCATATTGTCGGCCAACCTTCTGACTTCCTTTGCCTGCATTCATATAAGAAAAACAGATAAATAAATTATCCCAAATACACAGTGAATCTAGCAGCTTGCCAAAATGAAATTCTAAATGCTTTTAAAATGTTTTTGTTACTTCTGAGAAAAAATTTAAGGTGTGTTCGGTACTAAAGAAAATGTTTTCCATGGAAAAGGTTTTCTTTGAAAAGGTTTTCTAGAAAAATAAGAGGGTTTCTTACTTATTTTCTTGTGTTCGCCTGTTCGATATGTATGCAAAAAAATCTTATCCTAAAAATCATTTATATATAATCTAGACATATACTATGAAAGGTGAGGGTTGGATGGTGGGGATGGGGGCTACATGGGGTGGGGGTGAAGATGAGGTGGTTGGGGAGGACACAATCCATGTGGAATGCCATTTGTAAACTTGTTTTCCCTACTTCTATTAAGGAAACCATTTTCCTCATTAACTTTCCTAGAGAAAATATTTTCCTTAAATTTTACCAGCCAAAAAAGAAAAAATTGAAAACCTTTACAGAATGTTTTTCTCCATAACGAACACACCCCTAATGTATGAATAACCCAAGATATACTTCAAGGAAGCATTAAACTTCAGAAGGATTTATCTTATTCCTTAAGTGTGTGTTTCATGGCCTACTGACTTCCTCTTAAAGATGGTAGCATAAACGATAAATATTCACTTTTACTGTAGATTTTAATTCTTTTGATTGCATACTATGATTTGTGTCTATAGTTATTATTTGTGCCTTTCTTCAGTTAAGCTTGCATGTTATTCATGGTTTGAGCTTAAAGCTCCCAAGAGACCTTTTTTCTTTACGCTTTTCAGTTTTGATAACACTGGGACAAGATCCTCACAAGTATATAAGAAACATAGGAGAACTCAAACAAGGAGTCACATGCAATCACAAACATCATTCCTCTCGAGATCATTTAATGCTGTCTTAAAAAGCAATCAAAATTGTCATGCTGAAGATGTTTGAGAATCTCAAATAAGAGAATAAATTTTGTTTTTCTACAAGGAAATTTTTGAAAAATTAGAAGTGGATATACAATCTTAAAAATGTAGACGAAAAACATAAAGCAGTAAGTAGTCAGTGACCATCTTTAACTATAGTTGATTCCACTATCTCCTAAACATGCTAATGCTGACACCATATCTTTGTCCTAAAACACTCTATCAATCCAATCAAGCCAAATACATCAGAGTTTCAAGCATAGAACATATCCACAAACATTACCTTCTATAGTTTTATCATACCACAAAGGTAGAAACAAGTACAGAACTCACTCAAACTATGACACAAACTTGTCTCATCATTATAAATAGCCACAACAATGCCCTAGCAGAAAGGCAATCCACGACATATATGTATCGGACTCCTGCTATGTACGCACATATAGACCAGTTAAGCCTGATATCCTCATTCGATGTATATAGTGCAGCAAGTGCCAAGCGTGAAGTGTACCATGGACAACAATCATGGCAAATCTTTCATTTTAGGAACGTCCACTTTCCCAACAAAAAGACCGGAGTAACAAAAACCTGTGATGCTATGGATAACACAGCAAATACCAGAAAAAGGAATATCTCTTATGAAACCCTCTGAAAACCAAACACGTTCATAAACACCAATTCAAGGATTGAGGTGAAGTAGTCTATTCCCATATCTTGCATCCTAAACATCTAATGAGGAGCGAATATCCTTGATTTTGATCATAACAGAACAACCTTTTTGCTAATAAGAAGAAGACTAATAGACGCCAAGATCCAAACTGCAGAACCAAATCACAACTTACAAATGGTCTTTCCATATGTTATGAATCCCATTACAAAGAAAATAATGCAACAGACGCTAAATTTTCTCCACCACCAATTTCGGGAAACTGAAGAAAATACATAAGTAAACAAAGCACTAAAAATGTTCACCACGAGATGCCAAAAGGTGATACAGGAAGGGCTACGGAATACTCCACAAAGGCATTCCAATATACAGAAAGGGGAACACAAGATAGAAAACCCATCCATGTCCCCTGGGCTTAGTTCAAGTGGCAAAGGTTGAGGGACTTGTGACTTAGGTCACAGGTTCGAGCCATGCGCCATGTGAACTAAGACTGGTTTAAGTGGATGGTGCATGCTAAATTCAGAAGCAAGGCTCTGCAAGTCTATATAATCAATGAACAACAACTGCAGGAGATAAAACTCCCGAGATAATTGAAGAGGGAATTCAGAGGAGAGAATATTATTGCAATCACGCCTTCAACATTTACACAGAGGGATCCTTTTATCCTTTTCCCACAAGGATTCTAACAGTCTAACAAACTAACAGAATTTCGGAAGTGACTAAAGAATTCAATAAACTGCCCTTGATTAGCCTAATCATTTGTAACTAACTAACTAACTTCTTAGCGCAATTGTGTATATAACAGTGGAGAAGAGTAGAAGGTCGGGCCAATCATCCCCAAGTTCCGAATACTGCAGTAGACCCAAGGATTGCCCCCAAACAGATTTCTTAAACATTAAAAAAAAGATTGAGAACCCAGCCATAGAAGTGGATGTTTTGATTCTATAACTATCAATATGATCCATGGCTAAAAGTCCCATCCATATTTATTTCAACAGAGAGCCAATGGCTAATACAATAAGAAGGTTTAAAAGATTAACAACGTGTAATTGTTTCAAACAAAAGAAAGGAATTAGCTACATCAAATGATTAAACATTAGATCATGACTACCTAGTCCAAAGCTAGCAATCAAACAACTATCTCCCCTCTCTAACAACCTACATTATCCATCACAATCATGGTTGTTGATATATGAAATTTACAACATCCAACTGGTACTAATTAACACCGTGGAGGAAACTTACCAACTGTGCAGCCTAGAAATATGGATACAGGAAGGAACAGTTACCCAAAACGCCCATTTGTGTGACTTAATGTACATAGTACACCATTTAGTTCTTTCATACTAGCTACACTAGCATTGTGTATTATCAATGAAATCTAATAAAAAATAAATCCCTGCAACACAACATATTTACAAATTCCTTTTAATACGCATATCAAACATTCCTTATGACTTAACCAGCTAATCAAACAATAGCAAACACAGATCTTTGCAGAAAAAAAAAACAACACCATACAAATCCGTAATTATGAAACTGCAAATGTAAGTATACAAAGCCACTATTACCTTAGCAACGGTGGTTTCAATCCGTTCGTGCTTCACTAATTGTGACACCAATGTCCTACAACAAACACATTCGAAATCATATAAACTTATCGAAGAAACACAAAGAGTACATAGAGGCGAGTAATTATGAAGAAAAGAGGAACCTGAGCATGGACATCCGATGTCCCGTCGGACGATTCAATTTCCTGAATTTGGTCATTTTGGGTCACCGGAGAAACGGGAAATAGGAGAGAAGGGGGAAATGGAGAAGAATACTGAAGAGTGTAAAACCCTGATTTTAGAGGTTTTAGCGGAGGATCCATAACCCGTTTTGATTTCGAATCGGTTAGTAAAAGCCCAATTTAGTTTTGGTCCATTACTTGAGTAGAAATGTCACAAGGTAGCCACTTTAGGACCCTTATTTAAGTTCTATTCATTATTTGCAGGTTTGGGCACATTTGAGAATTTGGGTCAACCCAAAATCCAAATAGAACTACGAACTTTTTCAATAGGAAAAATTAATCGGGTGGGTATTTTTTAATAAATAATTACTGATTTTAGTGATATGTTTATTTATTATTATTTATAGCAATATTATGATACATCTATACTATGTATTAAAAGTGCATTATGCATGCAATATAGATGCATTATAAGTGTTTTAAAATATATTATGCTTGTTTGGTAAGAAATTGACACAGTGTATTAAAGTGTGATAAATGTATTATTCATCAATAAATTTTGTATTATGTGTGCTTTATAAAATGTTTTATATAATATGTATTAAAATTGTATTATAGATATATTATAAGTGTCCAATGAAAACAATTTTTATTGCTATATATGATAAATATTTTCTTATTATAGAACACCTATGAAAGTTTCCCTTTTCAATATTTTGTTTGAATTTTTGGATTTTGGATTTTATTTTTAAAATTTATAAATTTTCAATTGGATATAGGATTTAGTACTACAAATTTTTGGATATTCGAAAATGTGAAATTTTATACCTTATATTCAATTAACACTATTCATTTCATAAGTATCCAATTTGCAAAGGTACAATAGATTTGTGCCCAACCCATATCATATCTAATGTTATTATCATGTTTTTTTTTTTGGTGAGGTGTGACTAGATAAAAAAGTAAATTGTTTGGTAGGATTTATAAGAATACGGTAAAATAGAGTGTATTGATAATGCATTATTATTAATACTTGTATTAGTTATGCTTGCATTAATTATGCAGAGATTATTTTTTATGCATTGTTAAGTTTAATGTATTAAAAATAACATGCATTGTTTTAAAAAAAAATTATTTACAGAGATATCTTTTACAAATATGGCAGAAAAGATATTTTTTATAAAAAAAATTGAGTAACAATTAGGTCTTGAACCATGCTAATGCATGCATTAATTTAATTCCCTCCATTACTCATAAAATATGTCTTAGATTTCACTCCCTCCTCCTATTTTATTATGCCTTGATTTTTTTCACGCTCATTAAGAAAATAATAAATACAAGACATAGTTATTAAGTTACTTTAATTTAATAATGGTAAATTGATTTCTTTCTCTTAAATATTCTACATATTTATTTAATGTTAAGAATACAGTTAAAAATAATTATCAACTTAATCTTGAATATATAAAGTAATAATTATTTTGAGATTTTTTTAGCTAAAACATTAGTTAAAATGGAACGAAGGGAATATAAATTGTGAGCTATTTAATATACAGAAAATAGGCTAAAGTAGGTGGAATGTCTCTTGACTATATTGTAGTTTTGTGGAATAGGATGTTGCCTATATTGCCCATTTTTTGGGAAAAGTTTTAACATCTTTACTTAACTTTGTCGGACAAAATAATTAGAAGAAAAAAAGAGAGACAAATTAATTAGGAAAATAATAAGAAGAGAGACAATAGCTATTGCTCACCTTTTAAACAACAAAATCTAACCTACAAAACACAACTTTAATTTATACTTCCTCTTTTAGCATCAAAATCTAACACACAAAACACAACTTATTAATATAAGGAGACTAATTTGGTAGCTGATGGTTTAGTCAATTTAATCTTTAATATATATTCTTGCTTCGAACAACTTGACTTTTAATTTGTTACTATTAAAATTAGGAAATTTCACAATCATTGCTCAGCTTTCAGACCAAAATTCAATAATTCAACAGTTCTATTAGGCATAATACATAAAAATGACCTTTAACTTGGCGTAAGCTGGCAGCTATGACCTTTAACTTTGGGTGTGCACAAGTAGACACTTAAACTTGTATAAAATTGAACAAATAGACACATTCGTCCTACATGGCACCCTACATGGCAATTTCATGTCCTACATGACATCCTATGTGTATTATGCCATGTAGGACAAACGTGTCTACTTGTTCAATTTTATACAAGTTTAAGTGTCTACTTGTGCACATTCAAAGTTGGAGGACATAGTTGTCCGCTAAAGCCAAGTTAATGGTCATGTTTATGTATTATGCCGTTCTATTATCCTACTATAATAAATGTGATCCTAAATCATTTAAATTTTAAAGAATTAATTTAAAGAAAATTAATTGAAGTCCTGACTACTAAGGTCAAGTGGAACGAGGAGTATCTAGTCCACTTTCGAAGTACATCTAAACTATTACTCTATGTTTTTACTTATTTAACGATCAAAAAATGCATTTAAACTATCATAATTATTCATTATTTCATTTACCAGCCTAAACTATTAAAATACACCTTGATGTTGATTATCGAATGAGAACACTATTTGGCCAACGGATCAATTTGAGTTAATGAAGACCTAGTTCTAATTCTAATTAATGATGAATGACCATTAAATTAACTCTCTCAACCCTAAACCTACCATGCACATTAAAATCATTAAATGTCATTGGATCAACCAAGTTTAATTTGTTATTGTATTTATTTCACTAAAATTTTATAACAAAGTACACAAGGGAAGAAACAAAATACAGCTATCAAATTTTTCAGTTACACACCGAATGGAAAACAAAACAACAAAGAACCATTTATTTATTTGTTAAGTAAATAAGTACTAAAAGATAAAATACAAAATTAAAGAGAGTTGTGGAAATAAATATTTCTAAGCTTAAACCCTACAAATACTTCCACAACTGCCATAACATGCATCCAGATCTGCACCAGCATCTGCCAAATCAAAAATTAAATTTTCAATGATTGTACTATATTTGATTTTTTAACAAAAAAATGCAATACAAATTAAAAGAAAGACAAGGTTATTAAAAAGGGGGCTCCATGTCTTTAATTTTCACCCTCATTTAATTTCTATATGTTGCTTTCAAATGGTCATAATCAAGTTATAAACATAATGTTAAATTTCACAAACAATGTTATAAATTTCCCACATGTTCTTTCTTTTTCACTAATTAAACATTATTCTTCACATTAAGAAATGGTCCATTTAGACTATAACAACATTACTATTTGAAAAATAGACTAAATACAAATTCAAAAGTGTCCATTAGACAATCGACCCATAATCAATGTGAGACTCTTCAACATCCTTGCATGCATGCATTCTTGGATGTGAATATTAAATAAGAGGTACAACATTAGACAAATAAAAAATAAGGATATAACGATTAACTATACACGTACAAAGAAAATAAAACTTGAGCTTAACTCATCCTAAATAATAGACAATGACATAAGGTATAAAAATGATCCAAAATCATATAATTAGACAACAATTCATACTGTGGAGTTAAAAGATTTTTGTACTAAAAGAGTTCAAAATATAAAGAAATAAAGACAGAAAAAAACTAAAGGGAGTTCAACATTACTATATCTACATAAAATGAACATTCAAACCTTCCTAGTTCCGCCGTTACTAACAAACATGCAAAGTCTAACACAACATGCAAAAAAGGTGAATTATAATGATCATGGTGGGGATGGGGGTGGGGGTGGTATGTACCGGACCCTCCATCCGAGCCCTAGGAATAGAGAACCGTTCACCTTCAAAGTGCGACTTTTCAAACACAATTTTGGGCCTTAAAATGGACTGTATCGAACACCAGATAGAAAATCAAAGAGGAGAAAAAAGATAAATATGTATACCAAAGCGAATAGGAACACATAGCTCCAAGGAGCATCCAATGGTGCAATAATCCCGGTATTCAGAAGCAGAAGTTGGAATACACTTGCTTAGACACTTGACATAACAAGGATCATTTCCTGAAGGTATTCTTGATTTCATAGTCAATAATATACATTTATTGTAACATCCACCCCAACAAGCATATGGACTATCTCCATTAACAATATACATTTCATTTCCTACTACAAACAACACTATCAAAACACTAACAAAAATGCTAGTAATTCTTTCCATTGACACTTGGAATATTCTTTAGTTTACTCTATCTCTTTTTCTTTTTCTTAATTGTGAGGTTATGATTGGGAGAGGTGTAGTATATATGTATACTACTATAGATGAAAAGTCCCAACTAATTTGGGGACTATTTATTCATGGTGTATTTAATTGTTGCATGGCCTCTTGCATTTAATTTCCATTTTCATTGGGAACCAACTTTTGGACACACGAAGGTTCATGACGATACTCATTCCGTCCACTTAGTTTCTAATTTATCCTTATTATTTATTATAGTCATTTCTCAAAAAACTTTTGATGAATTTATTATATTTAAAGAATAATATATAGTAAAACTGTCATTTTAGGCATAATGCATAAACATATGACTTGGCTTGAGCTGACATTTAATGTCCTCCAACTTTGAAAATGCACATATCGACACTTAATTTATATAAAGTTGAACAACTGCAGGCCGTCTCAACAAGTTTGGAGATAACTATTTTTATTTTTTTATTTTTTTTGGCACTGAAGGTTCATAATGATAATCCTCTATTTACTTTTACTTATCTATTATATTAAAAATAATCTTTCATTTTTATTTCGTTATTTAGAAAATCAAGAGATAATTTAATTGTTTGGTATATAGCTGGTTTGGAGGTGAGTTATGCAAGTATTGAATCTCACATTAATAATATCATGTTTGATAGTTAATTATGAGGTAAATTATTCATGTATGAAATTAATATGGTGTTTGGTTTGTAATTTAGAAATCTGCATAACTAATATATGTATAATGAGGGAATGTATGTATTATTTTATGTAGGATATAAAAGTGGAATACCTAATACATGAATACCTTAACTCTGTGTAACTAATATTTACATAAGATAATACATAGATTCACTCATAACTAATTCATTCATTACTAACATCTGCATAATTCTAACCAGCTACCTAACAACCCCCGTTCATTATGCCCTTTAATTATTATTAATTATAGTCATTTCTCAAAACATCAGCATACTTATTATAAAAGTATGATAAAGTTAATACGATGAACAAATAAAAATAGACAGAGAATGAAGTGTTATAAACCATGAAAACCTCAAGCTCATGCATACAATTCCATGAGAAATTTATTATTTCAAGTACAATAGTAGTTGCACTATTCTTTTGTTAGGACCAGCCCCTACTTGTTTTTACACATCATGTTTCACCTAAAATTTCATGCAACCTTATATACCTATCCCCACTTCGATCCCTACCTCATAAAATTTCTTATTCCCCTACTGGCGTCCGATCGGAAATTTGGTTCGTCGATAAGGACTTTTGATGAAAAAATCGTTAACTGTATACTAACGAGCCAAATTTCAACAAATCTCATCGATCGAATATTAGTGATATTTTGATAGCATGTTTAGAGTTGTTAACAATTGTAAATTGAATTTATTGTACTTCGAAATTCAATGAGATGAGAGTACATTATGCATTTAAAATTTAAATATCTATCAAAAATATTAGATTCAGTTTAAGCCCAAGGTATAGTTGTTGTGTAGTAGTACTAGTTTGTAATGTAATGTTGTGAGAAAGAATATTAGTTTCCATAAAAAAAAAAGATAAGTTTCAAAAACACATCTAAATTATATCATTTTTTTGAGTTTCATATCTAAACTATCACATTTTTAGTTTGAGAAACACACCTCTCTCTTTTATACCACTCTCATCATGGTGTGTGTAATACACTCTCTCTTTTATTTTAAAAAATTGTCACATCACACTCCACTTGGACAAAACATTTAACCTTGACAAAAATTAAATAAATTATTAGTATTAGTTAAAATTTAAAATTTAAAAGTTATTATCCAAAAAAATAATATTTCTTTTATAAAATAAAATGTAAAATATTTTTCTTACCCCACTCCATCACTTCCTCTCACCCCCACCCCCCCC